TCTGTAATTCATCCTCTTTCTTTTTTTTCGCTCTTTTCCCGGTGCAACTTTGGTTGACGCGTGGTGGTGACTAGAAAGCTTCATGATGACCAACCAATAAATCGAGCGCTTGTCGAAAGCTCAATGTCCGGTGCTAACATAAATTTCATCGCCCGGGCCATCGCTCTCCCCATTTTTTATCTCGCGAGCATTCCTTTTTTGTCATATGTGCCCCACGTTTTGCGCTAACTCACATTGATTTTCTTTTCTTACTTCACTCGTCGTGATCAACAAGTGCGACGACTTGTTTATGTTGCGAGCGCTTAAATCTCTCGGTCACAGTCACTGTATATTAATGTTGATAGAAAATGAAATAAACTAACTACTTTTATTTCGTGACATACTTATATTCACCTAACATCTTTTATTGCTCGTTTTGCCTCACGCTTATTTTCAGTCACGCGAAACGTATGAGCACTAGTATCCAGTAAATCAGGAACGGATAGGTTAGCTTCGTAGAACGAAATTACTATAACTGTGTTGTATAATTTATTTATTTAATATTTTAATCTACCATTATAATACAAAGCTTCAAAAAAAAAAGGAAATTATTTTAATTTCTATTTCTTACATACCATTCTTTCGCTTATCTCGATCTGTTTTGTTTTGCTTCTTTTTGAATTCTTCTGTTCTCTTTGCCATTTATTTTCTTTATTTTTTTTCCTTTAACCTTTATTTTAACTCATTTCTTTGCTTTCCCTTTATCTCCATTCTTTTTATTTTTCTTTGTATATCTTTCAACTCTATTTCTATACTTTTCTTTACTTACTTGAGTCTCTTTCAATTTATAATTGTCGCTTTCTTCCCTATAAATTAGCTTTCTTCTTCTTTCTCTTCTGCCTTAAGCTTTTCATATATTTTCTTCGGTTTTCCTTTTTGCACTCTGTCCTCTGATGTCTTCTTGAGTCTCTCTATCCTATATTATAGCCCTTTAGATAAGTTTCGACTTTGTTCTTTGCCTTTTCTCTCTTTGTTTACGTTTTTATTTTTTCTGTTATATTCCAAAATAACTTCAATCTTTCCCTTTCCTCTTTCCTCTAAATTTTTTTTCCTGCTTGGTCTCCTTCTTATCCACGAAACCTTCGATCCTTCTTTTGTATCTTTTTTTCCTGTTTCATCCTATCATCACTCCTCTTCTTCCACCTTTCGCTGTGCCATATCTTTCTTTTTTCTCCTTAATCTCTCATTTCCCTTGCTTTTCGTCTTATTTCTTCTTGTATTCTCCTTTGTTTCCTTATCTAATCTTGAAAGATATAAATTTCCCTTCCTCTCAGTTGGATCTTTCTTCTCATTATCCTCTTCTCTTTTTCCCACGTACTGCATTTGAGCTGTCATATTTTCTTCATCTTTCTTCTTCCCCTTTACTTTTCTACCCCTCTCTATGATAGTTTCTTTCTATTTATTTCAAACTCACTACACTGCCGGTCACCTACTTCAGACCTCCTACCGCAAAATTAGTCAAAACTTTAAAGTTCAATGTCTCTGGTAAAAATTAACGTACAGAGTTGCCTGGGGGCGCGTTTAAGAAGTCTTTTCAAGAGCTTTCAAATGATATGACCTATGGATGCCTTCTATTGTTTTTTTAATTTTATGCAAGCAATAATTCAACATTGAAAATTCGGAAAATGTTTAGCTAACTTTGAAAATTTGCCGAATCTGAAAAACAAATCTTACAATAATTTGAGTTGGAGCATTTTTTAGCTTTTATCAAGCTCTATCTGAATTACTGGTCAAAAAATTATTTTCGTCAAAACCGATACGCGCACGGGCATTTTTTCGGAAAGTGACAGTTTTTTTAAACATTTTTTATCTCAGTAAACTCTGAAAATTCAAGAAAATATATAGGAGAAAAAATATTTGTTTTTGCAAGTGAAATACTGTACTTTTTTTTTAAATTTTTTCCAAAAAAAATTTTGTAGATTTAAAAAAAAATTTTTTCCACAAGCTTGTACACCAAAAAGATGAAAAACTAGATCAAATTTTTTTTCAATCATTTAATATTATTCCATAATAAATATAATGAATTTAGCACAAGAAAAAACAGAAAATTCATCATAAATATCATGAATTTTGCAAAAAAACAGAAAATTTATTTTCTTGCAAAATTCATGATATTTATTATGGAATAATATTGAATAAGTGAAAAAAAAATTTGATGTAGTTTTCCATCTTTTTGACATACCAGCTGTAAAAAAAAAATTGTTTTAAATCGGCAAAAACTTTTTTTCGCAAAAATAAAAAAAAATAGTACAGTATTCCACTTGCAAATGTAAAAATTTTTTCTCCTATACATTTTTTTGAATTTTTAGAATTTACGGAGATAAAAAATGTTAAAAAAAACTGTCACTTTCCGGAAGAAATACCCATGCGCGCGTTGGTTTTGACGAAAATAATTTTTTGACCAGTAATTCAGATAGAGCTTGATAAAAGCTAAAAAATGCTCCAACTCAAATTATTGTAAGATTTGTTTTTCAGATTCGGCACATTTTCAAAGTTAGCTAAACATTTTCCGAATTTCCAATGTTGAATTATTGATTGCATAAAATTAAAAAACAATAGAAGGCATCCATAGGTCATACCATTTGAAAGCTTTTACTGTGGAGGCTTAAAGTAAGTGACCGGCAGTGTATCTCTTTTTTCATTTTTAGGTTTCTTTTGAACTTCCATTTTTGAACTTCCCCTTTTCACCTTTCACTCCAGGATTCTTTCTACATCTGTTATTATTAAATTATTTCTCTTACTTTCTTTCTCCATTTTTTCCGCTAGTATTTCCATGTACTCCTTAGCCTCTATTTTATCCTCTTTTCCTTCCTATTCTCTTCCTGTCACGTAATTCTTTAATCTCTTTACTTTCTCCACTATATCTTTTATTTTTATTCTCCATTTTTCTTCTTGTTTTTCCTCCAATTTTTTCAGTTTTTCCCTTATCTTTTTTAGTTTTCTCCTCCTGTCTTCTCTAGACTCATTATGCTCCTTTCTTGTCTCTTTGATTATCGTTTTTCATATTCCTTCTTTTTACATTTCCTCATTTTCAAATCTGTCTACTATTTCCCTTCACTTGCATCTTTTAATCCTCTAACATTATCGATTCGTAACTCTTTTATGCTGATGCTACCGCTTCTTGCCACTTCTTCCTCTCTTTGAGTCCTATTCATTTCTGCTTACCCGTCCGCATCCCCGTCGCTTTCTCCGCTTTCACTTCTGTACTTATTCCTCAGTTGTATTTCTTCTTTACCCATCTTTTTTTTACAGACCCTAGCCTCTCTTACGTTCCTCTTTTTCTCTTCTTTATCTCTTTTTATAGATCTTTCTTCTGTCTTCTTCCATGCTGTCCTTTCCTGTTTCTTCCCGCCACATAACTCTTTTTCTCTTACTTTCGCCTTCTCCCGTGGTGAAGATATCCTGTATCTCGGTTTTTCTTGTTCTTTTCTAACTATCCGTCCCTGTCTTTAGCTTCCCTTCTTTTCGTGTACTGGCCATTATATTCTTACTTTCCTCTCGTTTCCGCCTCCCATGGTTTTCTCTTTTTTACATCTAACCTTTTTTGACTTTTCCTTTTTTTCACTCTGTTTTAACAGTTTTTCTTTTCTTTTATGTTCTTGTGGCTTTTATTATTTCACTTTCCTTGCTCCTCTCCTCCTTTTTACTCGCCTCTTACACCTTTTCTTTAATTTCTACCTTATTATTTTGAACTTTTATTGCCCATCGTAAGAAAACGTCCATTCTCTCGAAATATTGTTTTATTTATTTATGCACGTAAATATTTTCTTGAATATTTTTATTGAATAATAATAATTTGATATTAAATTATAGGCATTGGAGGATCTGAGAGTGCTTAAAATGTACGGACTTCAGATCAGACATGATTTAAGAGTGCTAATCTTAAAATGCATGGACTTTAGATCACTGAGCTAAAGTCTCCCTTGTTTACCTATTAATATCTATATTTATACGCTGTTATTTATATCATTTCTAAAATATAGGTTATATCAATCAATTAATCTCTATTTCTCAAATAGCACCTCTAATTAAACGGATGCAGCATGAGTAATTTGCTCACGTACACACAAATGCATCCGCTCTAACAATGGCGCGCGCAAGTATGGTGAGAGGTAACGAATGGAGGAAAAATGATGAATAAGGTTATTTTCCTCGCCACACAATTTTTCCGTTTAAACTTTTTCATCTTTACCTTAATCAATCTTACGTTTTACGGCTTCACATAGATTTGCTTCACTATAATAAATCTAAAACTAAGTGGACGAATGAAATATAACCATGCAATCCATCAATATACTTGACTAAATTGATAGAATACCTGCTTCAAGATCTATGCAACGAAGAATTGTTTAACTTTTACATAAAATCAATATCAATAATAAATCAAAAATTAGAACAAGTAAAAAGTGCAACAAATTAAGTCAATCGTATTGGAAATTTGAGTAAGGTATCGAGTAATATACGTACAAAAATTCGTAAAAGAACTTAAAGATTTGTTTAAAAACATTTAATAAACTTGATAGTTTGAACAAAACAATTGTACAAATAGGAAGCTGTACTCAAGTTATCATGATAATCGTGTGCACTAATTTTGAGCAAACTATATTTAAAAATAAAAAAATTTCAACTGCTTATTTCCATCCAAAAATCGTATAAAAATCATATAATATAAAATGTGGTTTGTGAAGTTTTTCATTTATGCGAGTGAAGCTATACATAAAAACAATATTATTTATCACATGCATTAAAAAATTACACATAAGAAGCTATATTGTTCCAAATTATCAAAACAAGGCTTCTCTTCAAGAAAATTTCAAAAATAAATTATTAACATTGAAAAATTAAACGACATTAGAATTTAAATCACTAAAAAAATGTTTTTTGTATAAAGTGTAATAGAATGAATCATAAAGTTATTAATGTTTAATGTTTTTAATCAATATTTTGGTTTCTTCTTGCAGATCAATAGTGATCCTAGTATTTTGCCAAATGTAACGCTATTGATGCGATGGAATGACACGAAAGGTGAAACCACAGAGGCAACCAAAGCCATGATTGATATGATTTGTGATGGAGTTGTCGCATTTTTCGGGCCGGAGGGTTACTGCTATGTTGAAGCTATTGTTGCGCAATCTCGAAATATACCTATGATCAGTTATGTAAGTAACACTCACGAAAATGACGTAGAATGTGCAACAACCCTTTCACTAATATGTGTGTGTGTTTGTGCACGCGTGCGTGCGTGTGTGTGCGTGCATGTGTGTACATGTGTGCGAGTGCACGCGCGTGTGCGCGTAGAAATATAACAATTTTTATTTTAATAAAATTAAAAAATTTAATAGTTTATTTACGATATTTATAGTTATATATATTTATAGAGAGAGGATTAGGTGGAGGATATGCTGGACTCTCGCATCGTACGCATCGTCGATTTTCGTTCGTTCCAAAGTCTTCAGTTTTAGAGTTTCGGGCGAGGTCTCGTCGGTGGTTCTAGTTTGTTCTTTTAAGGATACATACCTGGCGCATGGGACGTGTTCGTTAAGGTTTCGTTGGTTCCATATTTTGTGCTTGGGTTGCGCTCAGCTAACGTCGAGTCCCGATACTGTAGCCTGTGAAGAATTCAACGAGAATCTCGACATGCGCAACCTGTATCCCGGCGTGGCGAAAGGTAAAAAATAGCTATCCAGCGGTAGTGAGCAGCGCGTGGCCTTGTGGCCTCGAGGTCGATAACGGTCAACTGAGGCCAGGCGACCAGCAGCTGGACAGAGTAGCAGCAGCTGGCAGTTGCGGAACAATGAGGAGTACCGTCATCGACAAATGAGGTCGGTGCTCTGTGTTTTCTCTCTTTCTCCTCCTTTCTTGTACTTTTAAGAGCCACGTATACGTGTATCTGGCCGAGCAGTCCTAATGGACCCCTGCGTAGGTCGTAGCCGTTCCGTTGCTACGGCGCGTTCGTCGGATTAGGGAAAAGGGATTACTGAGCAGTCTACCGACAATCCCATCAAAGTGATTAGTATCACCACCATAATCCCGCCTAATACATTATTAGAATTTTTGTATTCGCGCAGTTTTTTTGGCTTTTCTTTTTTTCCGTTTCATTTACGGTTTGTTCCATAGTTAAACGAGTGTCACCGTATTTCACCTCTCACCAGTCCTCATCCCAGCGTTAGTATCGCATATGATTAATATTTTTGGTATATTCTTCAGCCGTCAGAGCGTTCGTCCTTCTGAAACCTTCCGAATCCATCCACTTGTAAAAACATACCCACAAAAAGAAAGATGACTGTACTTTTGACCAGACTTATTTTTTCTCACGTGAATTTTGACGCTGAATACGAATCTGCAATGAAAAAATAGCCTGCGACGAGGGGTAGAGAGGGGAAAAATGAATGTAGTCGGATTTTTCCGGCCTCGACTGCCGCCAGCGGCGCAGTCAGCCGATGATCGCAGCTTTTATTTATCGAATAAACTTCGATAGTTGGGCGCCAGCTACCGCGTCCTCGCGTTAGGAGGGCGAGTAGCGCTGTGGATCGGCTGGGTTCTGGCTCGCTGTGGTTGTTGGGTGGTTTCGTTGCCTCCTTCGTCGTACGTTGACCTCGCGCGGTCACCTATAAAATCTTAAGGAAAAAGGGAAGAGCGAAGTCCTAGGTTTTACGTTCGAGAGAGAAACAATGGAAAGGTGATGAGTATTAACCACCCACGACTGCAGCTCAACGGCTAGTCAATTTGTCCGGGGCATGAGGCTCTGATCTCAGCAGCGAGTAATCGGAGTGGCATCTCAGGACGCCTCGCTGGTGATCCAAGGGTAGTGAAGAATTCCGGTCGGCCGCCGATCACGTGGCTTGTGATAGCGAATGCCGAATTATTAACGTATCAATGCGTCTACTAATTTCATGTATCCGATCGCGAAAGCTACGGGGAATGGAGTAAGTTAAATGGGTGAGATCAATGATAACACTGGTTTAATCAGGACTCAATTTTATTGATATCAGATTTATTCCCCCGGGTCAGCCCAAGATCAGTTGTTCGCGATGGTCTGTTTAATCTAACTTAGCAAGGGCACGAGTGGTGCACCGTGACGCGACTTCGATTTGATTTAATGACAACTGAGTGGATGTTATACGAGGTGTGATCAAAAAGTAAGGTGAATTTTGAAATTTAGCGGGCTACGTCCGTTCGATCTTCGACTTTTTTATTTGGTTATGTCGGTACACTCGTCTAGAACATACGTTCCAAATTTCAGCTTTGTAGTATGTTTGGTTTGTTTGTGAGAGGCATCAAGGTTAGAAGTATTTTGCGTGCTCCACGATTTGCTGCTGTCTAAAAACATGGATCAAAGAGTTTGCATTAAATTTTGTGTGAAAAATGGATTCAAATGTTCCAAAACACTTGAAATGCTGAAAGTGGCATACGGTGAGTCTACTTTAAGCCAAAAAAATGTTTACAAGTGGTATAAACTCTTCCAAGAAGGCCGAGAAGACACCGACGACGAACCTCGTTCTGGACGCCCCAGCACATCAACAACTGATGAGAATGTTGAAGAAGTGAAGAAAATAGTGTTGGGAAATCGTCGAATTACCATTAGAGAAATTGCTGATGATATTGGCATCTCATTTGGTTCGTGCCAATAAATTTTGATGAGTGTTTTAGACATGAGACGTGTGTCAGCGAAGTTTGTTCCGAAATTGCTCAATTTCGACCAAAAGAAACGTCGCATGAACATCGCCCAAGAGCTACTGAATGACGTCAACGATGATCCAGATTTACTCAACAGGGTTATAACAGGTGACGAAACATGGGTATACGGTTATGACGTCGAGACTAAGACTCAATCGTCCCAGTGGAGGCATTCTGGATCACCAAGACCAAAAAAGGCACGCCAAGTTCGATCAAATGTAAAGGTTTTGCTTACAGTTTTCTTTGACTGCAGGGGCGTGGTGCATCATGAGTTCTTGCCACAGGGTAGAACAGGAAATAAGGAATATTACCTGCAAGTTATGCGCAATTTGCGCGAAGCAATCCACCAGAAACGTCCGAATTTGTGGAAAAATAAAAATTGGCTTTTGCACCATGATAACGCCCCTGCTCACACATCGTTGCTTGTGCGCGAATTTTTGGCTAAAACCAACACAGTAACGATGCCACAGGCACCGTATTCCCCAGATCTGGCCCCCTGTGACTTCTTCTTGTTCCCAAAACTGAAGAGGCCCATGAAAGGACGGCGTTTTGCCACGATTGAGGATATAAAGACGGCATCGAAGGATGAACTAAACAAGATCACAAAAAATGATTTTTTGAAATGCTTTGAGGATTGGAAAAAGCGTTGGCACAAGTGCATTATATCCGAAGGGGATTACTTTGAAGGAGATAAAATAAAAATTGATGAATAAATAAATATTTTTTGAGAAAAATAAAAATTCACCTTACTTTTTGATCACACCTCGTATAATGCGGGTTGATATACGGGCATTTCTAGGAATCGTAAGGCAATTATTTAAGGTCAGACTACACTTATTTCAATACGCGAAAATTCATAGGAATCGTTAATAATTGATGTGCGCGCGGGGGATCGGCCAGTCGCGCGAAGGTCAGACGATACTCGCTCAATGATTGGCAATTCACAAATTATTCGCATAACGAAACTCGGAAGCAGATGAAGCGCGTGTGGAAAAGTTGTCGGTCGAGCGAAGGTCAGACGCTATTCATTTAATGTATGGAAGTCCGTTCGATCGCACAAGGGAATTTTCGTCAACACAACACACGCGAAGAACTCGTCGTCCGCGCGAAGGTCATATGGTGCTTGTGCTATGTTTGGCGATTTATAAGGAGAAACCGCACAAAGGAAATAGACGGTAAACTAACGCGCGCGCGGGGAATCCGTTGTCCGCGCGAAGGTCAGACGGCACTCAATGTATCACGATCCAACAAAGAAAATGGTGGCGAATAATGCGCGCATGAGAGATCTGTCGGTCACACGAAGGTCAGGCGTCGTCCGTTCGAAATTCGGCAATTCAATAAGAAAATCGCGCAAGGAAATCGGTAATAAACTGACGCACGCGCGTGGAATTCGCTGTCCGCACGAAGGTCAGAAAACTCACTTGATGTTCGGCAAATTCAACAAAGAAATCGTGTGAAAGAGTTCGGTACCAAGCAGACGCGCGCGCGCGAGAAATTCCTTGTCCGCACGAAAGTCAACGACACTCGATAAGACGATCTAATAAGAAATCGCACAAAAGAAATCGATGGCGAATGATGCGCGCGTAAAGAACTCATCGGTCGCCCGAAGGTCATGCGGCACTCCCGGTAATACGCGATAAGCAAATTAAACTTTATGACGATTTATTAGGCGCACAAATTCCGCGATCGCGCGAAGGTCAAACGGTTCTCCCGACAACGCGAAGTCTAGATAATCGCGAGAGATTTAAGTGTGAGAGAAGGGTACTCACGTCTACGCCTGTTTGATCTCGCTGTTGCTGCTATAACGGTTACTGCCGCTATCGCTGCAGTGGCTACTGCTGCTGCTACTGCCATTACTCCCGCCGTTATTGCTACTGCTGCTCCGCTCGTTACTGCTGCTGCACTGGTCGTCGCTGCTCTGCTCACTACTGGTCTGCTCGTTGCTGCTTTGCTCGCTATTCCTCCACTCGTTGCTGCTCTGCTCGTTGCTGCTCTCGACTCACTCACTGGCGCGCGGTTACTTTTCGGCTCGGTCGATCGGCGACTATCACTTCGGCTTCCAGTCAGCTACTGCTCGGTTCGGATATTCAGCAGCTATTGGCGCGGCATTTTTCGGCGGTGCGTCGCTTCTCTTCGCTACTTCCCCTTTAAGATCGCCTGATTGGTCGATCTTGTTGCTAAGTCGGATGTCAGCGCCGTCTATTTCACTAATTTAGGCCCGCGTAATTTTACTATTGGGTAGCTCTTGGCGCCTAATTTCCTTATTCCTTAGCGTAGGTTTTGCCTTATTCGCTAAACTATCTCTAAGCTGTTTGCGATTGGCTAGTTAGTTAGCCTCATCTATGCTCATTCGGCGGTCTACCCCTATCCGGTTACTGATTGTCTAATTAAATTGCGCGCGTCGGTCAGTCTTACGTCGTTATCGGCTATCTCTGTCTAGCAAACGCTCGTTGGTCCTACCGATTCCCATTGCTCGCATCCG